GTCGCTATCTGCTAGCCTACTTAAATCACCGCCCATTTCTCCTCCTCTCACAGAAGCCGATGTGGAGGAGTGTAAGAACAAGCTTGGAAAGCTGGGAACTGGAGACGAAAACTTTTTCGGGGTATGTTTTGTCTTGTAGAAACTCTGTCTCATGTTGTTTGTGGCCTGCTTCTTGTTTGCAGCCTGGTACTCGACGTATAGTTGCACCTTAGTAGCACCGAGGGCTCTGCACCATATTAGCTTCAGTACTTTATTGTCACTGTACATATAGGCTTGCTTATTTGGGAGATCTAAATGGCACTTCCACTGTAAAAAATTCGATTGTGTTCCTCTCCTCGGTAAACCAGGAAAGGCAAACCAGGAAAGCCAAGCATATGTTAACACATAGACGGTTTCAGACCCCCGTCATCTTCCATTCTCCTAGCCGAAAATATCCATTGTTTATATCTCTAAAATTTCTACAGCACTTCTATAACATACAACTGAAACAGCTGTTTTGACCAGTGCTGCATCGTGTGGTGGTCAGCTTGCTGACCATCATGGCGTTCGTTTGCTTTTTTGATAAAAAGGCTACCAGTTCAACAGTTTTTCCGAAAAAAAAGCATTTGGCAAGGTGTGGGGTACCATTTTATTTATCGTTTGTCTCCTCTTATTCTTGCCACAATTCATCTTCTTAACTTTCACACTGCCTTGAGATAATATCGCTCAAAGGAGTCTGAAATCGTATCACCTCATTAGAGAAGTGCTGCAATTTGTCGGCACTTATCATGTATCGTTCCACGAATAGTTGAAGTAATAAAAATTATTGGCAATAAATTACAGCTGTTTGTAAGTGCCTTAAAAAAAATAAAAATTTGATATGGATCGCTTAAAAAACTTAAAAAGCATCTGCCCCTTCTAGGCTCCTCTGTCATCTGATAAAACAGATTCAATGAATCATAAAAAGTTATGACACGATCACTCTGTCACAAGATGATAACACGAGCCGTTGTGATGTTTTGCCTTCGTTTTTATTCAGATGCAGTCAATTTTGAAGCTTTCGATGTTACTGAGATACGATCAAACGCCGAGCCCCTACAACGCCATAATTTGCTGTTCCGAGTTACTTGCTTTTCCCACCTAAGCTCACCTCTCGTGAGTTCAGCGGGGTTTTGAAACGGTCAATTTCTGCTTCGGGGCAGCTGGTCATTGAAATGCTATTGGTTCGCGAACACTATACATTGTAGCTGTCGTTTATTTTACATAAATATTTTGATTTTCCTTCCCAAAAAATAATGTTTGTTTATTTGAAAATTCATATGGCCGAAAATGCCATGTTTTTGCGATCGTTATAATGATAATTAATTAGTTTGATAAAGTGCTGAATTTCTGGGTCGTTTGAGGAAACCATTACGGAGTGAAAGGAGGGAGCGAGGACGAAGAAGAGGGGGAAAGGAGTGGCTGGGGACGGTGGAAAGGAGAATCATGAGGAGGGTAAGTGCGAGGGCATGGAGGAGGGAAGGCGAAAAGAGATTCATGTGCGTTTAGGCGTTTTTGTGCAGTTGATCCGTTGATGATGGTTTCGGATATTCCCACCATAAAACTTATTTTTAATGAGCTCGTGGTAGGTGGTGATGGATTTTTAAACACGAATTTGAGACGTAGCGGGTCTTCAAACTCAATGCTCTTAGAATCCACGAAAGCCTTTCGGTTGCAGATGCTTTTTTTCATGAGCTGTCGTTAAATTGAAGATTTTTTCGAAACTTAAAAATTTTTGCAGGGTTTTGATCAGCCAAAAATGGATCCACGAAAACAGTGTCAGTGCAAAGTAATGCTGCTTGATGGGTCCGATATAAATGTCATCGTTTCGGTAAATCAGTTGTTTTTTCTCCGTTTTTTTGAAATGAAACCACTGCAAAAATTCATATTGACGTGAGATTATTATTTTTTTGTCCAATATATATATGCTTGTGAGTACATCGGTTTGTATACATACATGTACGCGTGCATATATAGGTGATGCAAACGGTAC